TCCTTCCTTCCTTCCTTCCTTCCTTCCTTCCTTTCTTTCTTTCTTTCTTCCATACTGATTATCTCACAGAGGCAACTCTGGCCTGCTTAAAAATATTAAAAACCAGTAAAATATTGCACTATAAACAACAGTAATTGGCAACAAAATATTATTATAATATGCTATATGCTATATGCCATATGCTATATGATATATGGTATGATATCATATCATATCATATTATATTATCACTTGAACCTCATTGGCATTGACAAAATCCCCGTTGGTCAATTGCAAAAGGCAGCTTTTCTTGAGATCTGCTTCCAATCTGTGGCGAGATTTTCAGCACCACCAATCATCCACATCTGCCTGCCCCAGGACCTTGGGAAGGGCTCCAGAGGTGGACCAAAATGCCAAACGTAATCCGAACATCTGGCTGACTTTGCAACTAGTCAATATAAGCTATAAACTTTTGCCAGCAAGCCAGCAGGGCATCCAAGGGACAGGATCTTTAAAGGTGCTAGCACCTTTTTTAAAGATGCTATTTTCCAAAAGGTTGGTAGTCCTCGACTTACGACCATAATGAACCCTACATTTCTCTTGCTAAATGAGAAGTGACTTTTGCCCCCCATTTTATGACCTTTCTTGACACATTTCGTTAAGTGAACCTTTGTTCATTGAGTGACGCGGTCATTAAGTGAATCTGGCTTCCCACGTTGGCTTTCCTCCTCAGAAGGCCGCAAAGGGGGGATCACGTGACCGCCGGACACAGCAACCGTCAGAAAACATGAGCCAGTTGCCCAAGCCTCTGAATTTTGATCACGCGACCATCCATTGAGGGATGATGCTTCAGGAGTCCTGTGAAAAGCTGTCACTTTTTCCAGTGCCGTCGTGACTTTGAAGGGCCACTAAATGAACCTGTTGTAATCCGAGGACCACCTGTAGGGCAGGATTTGAAGGCATCCTTACGGAGTGTAAGGCCTTCTTCTCGAGCCATTCAAATGATCACAACCTGCAGTGCCAATTTAATGTTTGCTTTAGGTTAGATTGTGGGTCTGGATAATGGCTCATAAATTGATAATAAGATTTTCATTGTATGTGATGGATGAGTATTGTCCCCGAGGTTTGCAAGCTGGGATTCCCACCACCCCTCCTACCACCACCACCACTTTGGACTGAAGATAAACTTGCTTGCTGACATAATCGCTCCAGGATAGTCCTTGACTTACAACCACAACTGAGGCCAAGCAAGACACTTCTCAAGTGAGTTTTGCCCCCGTTTTATAATCTTTTGTTGTGTTGGAAGAAAAGTCCGTCTGGGTTCCAATCCGGGAGAAAGATACTGGAAATAAAATGGGAGGAAATGGTTGGAAAGAAGGACTCTGCTTATGGATGAGCAGAACCAACCAGAGCCTGCAAGTTCTGGGACAGCTGACCAATCGGGTTTGATTGGTTCTGAGATGCTCCAGGGGAGTTGTGCAATGTAATGAGACTTGTGCCTTTTGCTATTCTAATGGTGGTGGNCAGTTCGAAAGTTTGTAAAAATGCAAGTAGAAAAACAGGAACCACCTTTGGTGGGAAGGGAACAGCGTTCCGTGCGCCTTCGGCGTTGAGTCATGGCGGCCACATGACCACAGAGACGTCTTCGGACAGCGCTGGCTCTTCGGCTTTGAAACGGAGATGAGCAGCGCCCCCTAGAGTCCAGAATGACTAGCACAGGAACCTTTACCTTTAAGTCAAGGACTGCCTATATGAGCTACTCAGGTGTGTGCCAAGAAAGGGTCGTCTGCATAACAACAAGGGTGTAAAAAGGCAGAATTCTGCAGAAATGATTTGATTCATTCCCTTAAATTAATCCACGCGCAGACAGATGGTTAGCAGCTGTCTCTGCCTTCGCCGCCTCCTGCGTTTCTGATGCCTTGCAGAGCTGCTGCAACACACTAGAATAGCATGTTGTGAACATGGAAAGGGGCAGAATCAGGGCTGGATTAAATCTCCATGAAACGGAGAAGAAAAACCTTCACTGGAGTCCATCTCAACTCTCAACGGACGCCCGTGTGACGTTTTGGGCCTCCCAGCAATCCTTGAGGGCAGGGAGCTTTCAAAATTGAGACGCTTGGCAACTGGCATGTACTTAGGACGGATGCCGTGTTCCCGGTGTGTGTGTGTGTGTGTGTGTGTGTGTGTGTGTGTGTGATGTGATCCCTTATTGTGACCTTCTGACAAGCAAACTCAACGCGGAATCCAGCTTCGCTTAACAACCGGCATTAGCGGCTTAATGACTGAAGGGATTCCCTTGACAAATGTGGCAAAAAAAAAAGAAGTTGTAAAATGGGGCCAAACTCACTTCACAATTGTCTTGCTTTGCAACGGAAAAGCTCAACTGTGGCTGTAAGTCAAGGAGTACCTTTAGATGATCATTTGGCCTTGAGTGGAAAACTTAAGGACCTCAGCCTCCATATCTTTGCTGTGATTTTTTCTGCTTTCTTTCCTTCCTTCCTGCTTTTTTTCTCTTTTCTCTTTCTTTTTTTCCTTCCCTCATTTCCTCCCTTTCCTCCTTTCCTTCCCCCCATTTCTTTCTTCCTTTCCTTCTTTTTTCTTCCTTCCTTCCTTCCTTTCTTCCTTCTTTTCTTCCTTTTTCCTTCCTTCCTTTCCTTCCTTCCCTCTCCCTCCCTCCCTTCCTTCTTATCTTCCTTCCCTCCCTCTCCCTTCCTTCCTTCCTTCCTTCCTTCCTTCCTTCCTTCCTTCCTTCCT